CTACTCACATAGATTTTAGCCATCTTTACCTTTGAGCTTATACTTAACCGCAATAACCACTCACTAGCTCGCATTTAATCAATTAAAACAACATTTTGAATGTAGTAACATGCCTTAGAGAATTCACTCAATTCCTCACCGGATATACTTTCTATTTTCACACAAATTTTCTGACTACACTCCCTATACTAAGTATACGTGAGAAGATTAATTTAAACATGTAGACTAGCACTCACATATGTTATAACAAAGAAGGCACTTTCTGGAATTCTTAATATAAACATATATATGATCTCATGAACGGAATACCACTACTTAGAAGCGAGAACCAGGGATTCCATATGCTCATGCCAATTTCAAACTCCACGTATTGAATAACATAACAATCAAGATAAAAGTCTAAGGGTTGTAATGGGGCTAAGGTATTGGCTAACAAAGAAAGATCAAGGATAAACAAAGATTCTTAAAGTGATAATAAGCAAAGTAATGAAATCAACACTTAGAATTCAACTTTTGATTGCAGCACCCAACTTTAAACACAAAGGGAAGATTCGTACAACTTTAGGGTCAGATTCACATTTTTGGACCCTTCTTCAACAACCAACACTTATGAACTCATTCTCACTTTCTTTTCAACCTCTTTTTTTATTTTCTCAACTTTTTTCTTCTTTCTTTTCTGTTTCTTTTTCAATGTTTTTCTGTTTTTCTTTTAAACATAAAACATAAACACTACACTTCACCGGATTCAAAAGAACAAATCTTTCCCCCACACTTATTTCTCTGCAGATCGTAGATCAAAAGGAATTCCCAACAAGTCATGCTTCACTATTCTTTAAGAACAAGGGTATGGATATTCCTATGCTAGGCTAGGTAAGGATAATTCAGGCTAACAAAGAAAATAGGCTAAATAAGGCTCAAAGGGGTTAAACCTACAATACATATGCAAGGGATAAGGCTTTTTGGCTCTGGTGGTAACTAAACAACTTTTTTATTTTCTTTGTTATGCAATCAATTTTAAGCTTTGAATGAAACGGGCATGAGTTCTAGTATTTGGAACTAAAATGATGAAAAAGCATTCCAAGTAGCAACCAAGCAAAGAAATAATGAGATCATGCAATGACTTTAGAAAACAAGAATATCACATATTACTAACTCTCCAAACAAAGAATAGTCTCAAGTCTCATAGGGTTGTAGCGTTAGTTTGAGTTTCTTCCTTCAAGCATATTACAAAAACTGATTTTTTTTTCCCTTGTGGTTGCATGTGAATTCATAAATGACAACTACAACTAAGTATTAACCAAAGAGCATATCAAACTTCCACCTATGTATGTAACTTTCTTTAACAATCATGCAATTAAAAACCAAATCCTCATCATTGTGTTGGAAGGTACCCTAAGACACAAACAAGCAACAAAAACGACTCTTTTTGGTATTTTCTCAAAAAATTTCGATTTTTATTTTATTTTTTCAAAATTTTTTATATGACACACAATAAAACACTTTAAAACAGTGAATAACAACGTTAGTAGTGATAAGTGGTGAAATTCGGAGAGAAATCATGAAAAGCGTTATGTTTACTCCCCCCCCCCCAAACACTTAAACCAAACATTGTCCTCAATGTTTCAAAAATAAACTTAACCAAGAAAGAAATATAAAGATAACTAGCAAACAAGACAATCATGGCAAAGTAAAAACAATAAAGAGAAGGGTAAAAGAGAGCAAATCTGGTTGTAGAGCTCGGAGATTCCAAAGTCTTTCTATTTGAATCACATGGGTTGCCTCTCAATGAGCACTTGCTTTAACGTCTTCCAGCAGGACAATACCTCCATTTAAGCTTCATTATGGCCTGCGGCATTGAGGGGTACATCCTCCACAACATGCTCCTTAAAACTTCCATGAATTGGATCTATGAATGGAAGGGGATAATGATCCTTCCTGATTGTGGTGTTGAGCTTTCTAAAGTCAATGTAAACTCTCCCACTAGCTTGGATTCGATTGGGCACCTGAACCAAAGAAGGTAATAAATTATTACTTGAAATGGGAATTGGAATTGGAATAGGTGGCTCACCGATATACTGCGATGAAGAATCAAAAGTAGCAGCACTGTCAACAATTTCAAAGGTGGTCCTCTCAGCCTTGGGTGCTTTGAGGGCAGTGGCTTGTCCCGTGTGATCCACTCCAATTCCCTTTTCAATGGTGGTTTTAAATACATCATTCTTGATAGGTGTTGAACATTCCTGCCCTATATTTTTAATCACATTAATGGCAAAACAAGAACGAACATCATTAAGGTACTTAACGGATTCAGAAACATTAAAACTAATATCGCCATCATACTCCATAGTTAACGCTCCCTTGGACACACAATCTTGGTTTGGGTTGTTTTCATGAAAGGTCTTCCAAGTAAGATTGGCAATGGTATAGAGTGGGATGAATCATCCATCTCAAGCACATAAAAATTTGCTGGAAAAATCAAATGGTCTACCTGCACCAAAACATCTTTCAAAACTCCTTTCGGATATGCATTAGATCGATCATCTGATTGAATAATGACACCATCATTTTTAAGCTCTCCTAGATTCATAGATGTATAAACGGAATATGGCATGACATTAATGGAAGCAACTAAATCTAGCATAGCATGTTCAAACCTTGTATTACCAATAACATAAGGGATAGTGGAACTACCTGGATCTTTGCATTTAGGTGACAACTTTCTTTGCAAAACTGCAGAGACATTTTCATTTACATGTACCATCTCCTTCTCAGGAATCCGTTTCTTTGTTGTACAAAGCTTCTTAAAAAACGTAGCATACTTTGGAACTTGCTTTATTGCATCAAGAAGTGGGATATTAACTTGCACCTTCTTGAAGATTTCTAAGATGTCTTTTTCATTCTCTTCTTTCTTAGATTGCATAAACCTGCGAGGGAAAGGCACATTTGGTGGAATAAGGTTAGAAAGAATTGAATTCGAACCCACCTTACCTGAATTAGGTGGCGTAGAAGCCTTAGGAGGCTACGGTAAGGATTGTTCTTTCCTTGTCATGGCCTTGTCCACCTCTTCTTCTTCAGGCAGCACTTGTTCGTCCTCTTTTTGGCTAGGTTTGGACATTTTTGGATTTGTTCCAATCTCTTTACCACTTCTCAAGGTAATAGCCTTAGCAATTTCAAAACCTTCATTTGGATTGACAATAGTTGAACTAGGCAGTTTGCCTTGTTCTCTAAATTGTCCCATGAGTTCTGCTATCTGCCCCCATTTGATTCTTCATTTCACCCTTCTCTTTGGCTTGATTTTGTAAACCCTGAGTCAAAAAAGTTAGTGCTTGAAGAATTTTTTCATTATCCATTGACGAACCTGAATTTGGTTATGATTGTTGTGGGGAAGATTGTGGTGGCTGCATAGGTCTTGAATAGAACTCCTCAGGTTGCTGCCAATATCCTTCTTGTTAAACTTGTTGAGGTTCCCTCCATATAAAATTTGAATGATCTCTCCCACCAGGGTTGTAAGATTTGGAAAACAAGTCATTCCTTGATTGATTATGGCCTTGATAACGCCAAGCATTGATACCATCCCAACCTCCATTCTCAATTAATTAAGGATGTTTATTAGTTTGATATCCTTGCCTAGAGGAAACACCATATGTAGCCACACTTTACATTGCAGTCCTTTCGATATACTGTGATAAAAGAGAAGTAAGATTCGCCATTTGAGCTTGAAGATTAGCAATTGCCATGTCTTGCTTCTATAGTACCTGAAATCAAATAAATACAACTAAATGAAATATCAAAAGAAAAATAAACAAAAAATAGAGGGATTAACAATTTTACTAATCCCCGGCAACGGTGCCAAAATTTGATGTGGTATAAACTAAACACAAATTAAACCCTATAATTTAGATGATTGTAGTATGAGTAAGTAGGGATCGTTCTAGGCCAGGGATTAGAAGGGATGCTAATTAACACAAATTAAACTTAAAAACTGAAAACTAAGCTAGACTAACACAAAATAAGAACTGAGGGGGTTTTTTGACGAATTTTAAGAAACAAAAGTAAATAGCAGCAATTAAATTGAGTTGTAAAGAGAATATGGGTGAAAAGCTAGGTAGAGGATTCTTCTCCACACATGAAACATATACACATAAATTGATTTCTAGTTATTTTTTCTATAAACCATGAATGAGAATGCCCCAAATTATTGTGAATGCACTAATTAATTCTCAGACTTTCCTAAGTTCATTGAATTGGACTCAGCGACGCAACCAAATTATCCTTCTCAAATTCCCTAACTATGAAAAGCATGATAGAGACACATATCAAAGGTCATTAAGTTATGTGAAAATCATAAACATGGCATTCGTAACTATGAAAAGCATGATACTCCTGCCATGGATTTACTTAACTCAGTCATAACCAGTGACTTTTACTACTTATAAATATAAGTTTATAACGATTAGGTGAAATTCCCTTATATTCTAGCATCAATCCTTGCATGCAAACTAAGTATGCACCCTTAGCAAACATACAAGAATAAATTTTCTATAAATCAGATAAGTAAATCGCATTCATGTTTTATGAAACAAGAACTGGATGTAATCAATTCATATAAAACATATAATCATGGCTTAGAATTCACCTCTAGCTAAAAAGAAATTTAGTTACACATGTTCATCATAATTGAAAAGCAATCCACTACTAGGAAACTAGTTATTAGTGGCGTTTTGAAAACCGACAAAAAACATGTATTACTGTCGAATTTTAAGCAAAATCCGACAAAAAATGGATACAGTGACAGATATAATAAGCGACAGAATTGCCTACGTTAGGAAATTAATTTTCCGACAGAAAATACTCTAAAACCGATAGAAATTGTGTCGGATAAAACCGACACAAAATGCTTAAACCATTCGACGGAAATGAATTAATAATGAATAAATAAAACCATTTACTATCGGTTTTAACCGACAGGAAGAAATTAATAATGAATAAATAAAAACATTGTATGTCGGATAAAACCGACAGGAATGATATTAAAAATAAAAAAAATATAAATCACTTTCTGCATTTTCCATATCCCCGCATTTACCATCCAACCTCGCCAGAGCTCGATCTCGCCGCCGCCTATCACCACCGTATGTCACCATTGTCTGCCTTCCCCCATCACTTCATCCAACCCTGGTTCAACATGAGGAATATCAGAGCAGGAAAAAAAGTGAATAGGGTAAGATAGAAAGTTTGTTGGTAAAATGATGGATAACTTTTGAGATGCTCACCAATTGGGATGGCTCCTGCAGCCATATACTCCACAACACTTATTCCAAAATGTTCATCTGTCATTGAATGGATTCCTGTGATGGCCCCTCCCAGAAGTTGCACCAAGTCCCTGTAGATGTGATAAATAACCAAGGCTAAGAAAGCAAAAACAAATCCAAACAGGGTACATTATTACAAGAACAAAAGAGAGCCAATAATCGTTGACATTGAGGAAAAATATGTTTACGAAAACAACATCTAAAATGGTTTTGAGAAGATGTTCACACCAAACAGTTTGTATTTGTCTAATTCAGCTACATACTATGTAGCTTATTCGAATTCACCTAGGCAGATGCACAAAAAAAATGCTAATTATCTGAGTCATTTATGCTGTATATATTAGGATCACTACTTGTATGATTCAATCCTCAGACGGGAAGCAATTAACAATGCAAGCCAACCAAAGATAAGAAACTTATGAACAGATTATGCATGGTTTACGTTTAACAGAGCAAGAAGAACAAGTTATCTAGACATTTACATTAAAGGATGCAGAACATGAAATCCTTGGCACAGACTTGTATAATACATTTTTATGAAATTCTACGTCCCCGTCAACCTTCAGTTCAACTGCTTTATCTTTCAAATGTTGCAATCTTTCTTCATCTGCCTTATTCCGGCAGCTACCCACAAACTAAAGCTTAGGTCTAGGTAAGTGTGCATCTAATTTTCCAATGGCAACTGAAAAGGCCTCAAGTTGGAGACCATGTGCCTGAGAAAGGAACAACCAAATTAGAAAGGACTTGCAATATCCACAAATAATAAAGGCCCTATACACGAGCCGCAAAAATCTTAGTACCTTGTGTTCATACGGTTTATATTCCCACCTTCGGATTTCCCGGACGACCGCTTCCTCCTGGTCCTTAACATCCGACTCCTCCAAACAGCAGAGTCGGTGTCCCTGTTTGAGCAGGACTCGATGGTAATCTCATTAACAATCCTCTTGACTCGGTGGCGGGTCCCACAAAAAGACGACTCCTTGGCCTCGTCGTCGATGGAGGAGTCAGTGGCGTTACCGTCAGTGATCGATATCCGCACAACACGCGGCCTCACGGACTCGAACTCGTCCGCTTCCGCCGAATTGGCCACCATCGTAGTGTGGTGCCGGTTCTGCGCGTACTTAACAGCAGGACAATTCATAGCTCACAAAAAAGAAACAAAACTTTATAGAGTGCAAAATTTAGAAGGTGAGTGGCATTGAGAACGAGTTGAAAGAGTGAGTGAGTGGGGAATGTTCCAGAGCTTTTCGATATGGGACTGAGTCTAGGACGAATTAACCATAACAAGATGAGCACAAGAGCCTACAATCCCTATTCACTTTAACGAGACGACTAATAACTTTATGTTAGCTAGCTAAGCTTGGTAGCTAGACTCAAGTACTACTGTGCTGTGAGTGTGAGACAGACACCAACGAGAGAGAGAGAGTCTGTCTGCAGTGTGTGTGGAATTATTGGTTGGAATTGGTTGCAAATGTTCGAACAGAATAGAAAAGAATAGAGGAAAAGGAGAAGGAAATGAGGACAGGAGAATAGAGGGAAGGGAGAAGCATCGGCGCAAGGAAGATGGAGGGGTTTTTAAAATTTAGGTTATTTTAATTATTATCGATTAAAACCGACAGAAACATTTTTTTAAAATAAAAACCGACAGAAAAAATGGCGGCAAAATTCCCTCTGAAAATTTTAAATTCCCCCCAAAATTTTGCTACGATTTTAAAAATAAAATAATAATTGTTTGGTTTAATAAATAAATAAATAATATGTATTTAAATAGAATATGTTTTTAAAAATTAAATAAATAATTTATTTGTTTCTTTATCGCATAATTTATTACATGGATTATTCTCTATTAATTCTTTTTATACATATTATTTAAATACATATTCTATTTAAATTATTTATTTTATTTAATAGAGAATAAATAGAGAATAATAGAATTTGTATTTAAATAATATCTTTTTACATGTAAAATATGCGATAAAGAAACAAAAAAAGAATTAATAGAGAATAATTTTTAAAATAAATAAATAAATAAATAATATGTATTTAAATAGAATATATTTTTAAAAATTAATAAATAAATAAATTATTTAAAATATTATCTATATAGATAATTTTTACACTTTTGGTTTAATAGAGAATAATCCATGTAAAATATGCGATAAAGAAACAAAAAAAGAATTGTACAATGAAAATGTCATCACACAAACTAAATATTGTCTAATCAATACTTGAAAAACATAAATAAATATTGTCTAATGAATAAATTTGATATTCAATTTAAAATATTTACACTTATACTTAATGGAAGTATAACATTAACTCTAAGTGTTTGTTTAATCTACCGTTTTGATGCGTTACGCATTCTACGAAGTGTTTTTCAATGATCCAACCGTCAAACTTGTTTGTACACACTCTGAGATCGCATACGTAAAAAATCACAAAAAACAAACATTAAGAGATTAGGTAACAAAACAAAAGTTTTCAATGGTTATAAACGAAAAATCACAATTTAACGGTTACTTTAGCTCTAATTTTGATGATTTTTTTAGTTACACTCCTCGACCCTATAAGAATGCAGTGAACGAATTCGATTGAATATGTTTGTTAGTTATGCATTGATTGAATTGTATTCCAAATGCGGAGAAATGGACGAGACTGTGGAAGTGCTTGACGAGTTTTCGCACCCCTCCCCCCCCCAAATTTATGGCTTCGCCACCGGTTGAGTTATATAGGAAGGTGTCAAAGATAATTAATCTAGGTCACATCGATAAAACGTTTTTCCCCTTACTGCCCAATGAAGCTTCAAAGTCATGTCTCTTGAAAAAAATGAAGCCTTCATTTGTTTTCTTTCAATTTTTTAAAAATTGAAGAACTTTTTTAAAATTATTATTAAAGGAAGGGAAAGTGTTTGAAACTATTACAATAATTTAAGGAATGGAGTTTTGAACTCATAACGGATGGGTGGAAATTCAACACCATATTAGTTCACCTACTTGCAAACTTAAAAACTTATTTGGTAATTGTTTTTACTATTTTAAGAAAAATGAAAGCTGAAAACAAAATTGTTACCAAACAAGTTTAAATCATAAACATTTGATAAAGAATGATATCTAGATACAAGAGAATTTGGAAACCTATAAGATTTTCTCCAATGATAGATCTCTAAAATTTAAGACATTAAAATGGAATAACATTAGGAAGCTGTTATTAACAATTCAAAATAATTATTGTGCACTCTAACCATATAGAAATACAAGAGAGAAAAAAACACACTTGAAAAGAGTGTCAAATAACTTTTTAAAAGTGTCAATAACACTATTTAATATTTTTTCCAATCATGTATTGTCAACCTCTCAATCCATCTCGACTAAAAACACTAAAAAATGAAGGTACAAACCATATTATTGAGTGCATCTGTCCAAACTACACTAAAAGATGAAAATACTACATCATATTTATCACGCATGGACGATAAAAGATAATTGTAGGGAAAAAATAACAAACTCCAAATAGAGGTAAATGAATGTGACAATTCATATATCTATGGACGGCTAACTAATCTCCCTTTTCATACAATCTCTGTACCACATAATGCGAGTGCAGTTGTGTATTTTCGGTTTCTGAGTTAAATGGTATGTTAAATTAGAACTGATGATGCCAAAAAATACATTCTAAGAGCTCAAACTCAAAGTTTGAGTTCTAAACTTTGCTCGTTTTCCACTAAACCAAACCTATGTACGCAAGTGCCTGAGTGGCTTGGCTGTTGACATTCACTGTTCAGAACTTCAGTGGGTCACTTGGTGTCTTGCACTTGAACTCCCACCATTTTATAAACTAAACTAAAATTCAAGAAACAAATTTTATTATTCATGAAATAAATAATAATTGGGGTTAAATATTACAACTACAACAACAATAATAAAGCTTTTTTCCACTAAAATACTAAAATAATAACCGCCATAAAGTAAAATATTAAAATAGTCAATTTCTGTCGGTTATAACCACCACCATTAACTTAAAACCGCCAGAATATGTAAAAAATATTAAAAAATTTCAAAAATACTGTCAGATATAACCGACAGAATTTTCTTGATATCTGCTAGTAAATATCCGACAGGAATTGATGTCGGATATAACCGACAATATTTTTCTAATATCCGCTAGTAATTAAATGATGTGTCGGATATAATTTATCCTACAGTATTTTCTATTATCCACCACCATCATCCGCCACCTAAAGCTAGTATTGTAGTAGTGATCTAAAATAAACATTGAAACTAAACAAGGATAGAAAGAACTCTGAAAATCTCTAATGGTTGAATGCAATATGCGACACACTCCTTCTTCTCTGATCCTTGCAGGTTGCGGCACAAGCTTTGAATAAGGCATGCGGCACAAGTCTTCTCTCCCCTGAAAGTTGCGGCAATAAGTAGTATTTATAGGTAGGGGCACATCATAATTTGTCGAGGAAAAGGATTAGGTTGTTTGCATTATTTAGGACTCCTTAAATCATATAGGAAGTGGTTTAATGTGATAAGGAATCCCCCTTACAGCTGGAGATAAAGTAGGATTAGGATAAGATAAGGTTTGTCAAGGATAAGGTTAGAGAAGATAAGTTTGGATAAGGTTTCCCTTTAATTTCTGATTCCTTGTCTTCCAAGCCTCAATCCTAATTCTTCTAGATTGTAGCACATTCCTAGCCTCATTTGACCACCAAAAATGTCCGTCCCAAGTGCTCCCAACGCATGCTATCCAATCCAAGTCTAAAACTGCTCCAAATTGCTCCATTTTGCCCTTGTTTTGTCACCTTTGCCAATTGGACCTACAAACACACGAAAATAGCTTAAATCACTATAATAAATAGAAACTAAGTAAATGCAAAGAAATAAGTTAACAAAGTTGCATAAATATGCTCTAAGGCCATCAATGCTTTATAGCACTGAATGTTGGGCTATAAGTATCACCACGTGCAAACAATGAGTATAGCAGATATGAGAATGTTTCATTGGATGTGTGGGCACATGAAAATGGACATGATTAAGAATGAGGATATCTAAGATAAAGTAGGAGTGGCTGCAATTGAAGACAAGATGAGAGATATCAGTTAAGGTGGTTTGGACATGTGAACCAAAGACCTATAGATGCTTCAATTAGAAGATGTGATTATGAGACATGCTCAGGAAAAAAGGGTTGAGTTCGAGGAAAACCTAGGAGGACTTAGAAAGAGACTATAGATTTAGTGCAAAACCGAGTATAACGGCGTTCTAGGATTCATACAGTCGACTCGACTTAGTGGAATAAGACTTTGTTGTTGTTGTTGTTGTTGTTGCTATTGTTGTTGTTGTTGTTGCTGTTGTTGTTGTTGTTGTTATCGTTGTTTAAGTCTTAGTTAGTACTACAATATAGTGATATTCTTTTTCACTTGTAAGTGAAAAGACTTAAGTTCGAATCTCGGAAATGATAAGTTCACAACCAATTTTGTTCGTCCACCCTTTAGTGTAGATCTATTATCATAATAAATATATTAATAACATTTACATCAAATATCCAAGTGTTTTTTTTATATATACAACAATATTCTACACGAAGGTCGACTTATGCTAATAGGTATTGGTCTCTAAACAAATATAATACCTCCTAGCTATCCATGTGAGTAGAACCTGAGACCTATCACTTACAAGTAAAGAATACCACTAAAACCATCCTCTAA